GTGCATCCATATGATAAGCAAGGGTGACTCTTCCATAATTGTGAAATTTGTATTCGCTGGGACCGGGGTTCTGGTAGAAGCTTCTCTCTTACCTGATATTTAGGAAACAAACTGAGTTATGGTTATGATAAGCAAGGGTGATTCTTTCAAAATTTAGCTTCAGAACTGTATAGCTCTCCGAAAAAAATGTATTGACAGACCGGAGAGCTACATGTATAGCTGCAGAACTGTATAGCTCTCCGAATAAAATATATTGGAACTAAACTTTAGGCCCCTGAGCAACCATAATGTAGCCTATATCATATGAAGAGGAGCCAAAAAAAAAAAAAAAAAAAAAAAAAAAAAAAAAAAAAAAAAAAAAAAAACAAAAAAAAAACCAAACAAGCTAATTCAGAGAATCTGTGTCCCCCGCTTAGGGAAAAAGTAAACCATGCGCAGTTCGTGGGGGGAGTCGGATCCCCCTGACTGAATTTGTAGAATTATTAAATGTATACATGTATATTGAAGCAAATAAAATATGTCAATATGGATATAAAGATTTGATTGCTTATTCTTTATTATGTGTATAGAAGATTCTTTTTATAAGGAATATTTATCACACTGTAATGATGATTTTCTGAGTTTGTACAAGCCAGACCTCATAACTTTTTCATTTCACATGCTGAATACTATCATTTATTTAAAAAAAGGGTATTTCAGGAAGAAAAAAAAGAAAGTGGATCGTCTGGGCATCGAACCCAGGACCTCTCACATTTGAAGCAAGAGACATACTACTAGACCACGGAACCGCTCTCAACTGGCGGAAATTATATGCAAACACGAAGTCACATACATGTATATATTCACGTTCGATATTTTCAATTTACACAATGCATGGTGTCTAATTTAGCCTTTATTAAACAGTTCTAATAGATGACATGTACTAAGAACATAGAGTCCGCCGGGAACCTATATACACGTAATAACTCTCCTCATACCCCAGTGCCAAAAATAGCGACATGTAATACAATAAATACTAATAAAACAAACGGGGCGGAGCACTTTGAGAGGGGTGAGAGAGGTCCTAGGGAGTTTTGGTATAAAATTACATTGCAAAAGCTCACAATCTTCTTGAAATATCGCCCGGAAACGAAAGTGTTACACACATACAGAATGCATAAATTTATTACCTTGAACGTTGACCTTTTGACCTCAAAATAAATAGGGGTCTTCCTTATGCCACAGAGAGTTGTTATGTAAAAAGAGGGTGTTGCAGTTCTTCTGTTATTTTCCCTAAATGTGTAGCAGATTAAAAGAAGAATTTTTATGTTGCAGAAACTCATATTAATTTTTTTCAAATGCAACAATATATAAAGCACAATGACAAACAAAATTTGGAAGGTGTGTATTGACTTCCAGTTTGCCATTAAAGACGTACAACACACTGGGGGAGATAACTCTTGCGATTTCAATTGAACGTTTGACGTGACGTCAAATTTAACGTCAAAAATAAAGCGTCAAAACGACGAGTAAAACGATCCCGATGTATATCAATCATGAAAGAAAATTGAGATATGGGGCTTGGCTGTGATTGTGCGTACCATACTCAATCAATAAGTATTTTTTTAATTAACCAGATTAAACTCCGTAAAAAGCAAGACATCAAATACCATCCCTTAATGTTTATTTCATTTCATTTCATATACAATAAATTGTATTTTTGATCAAAGCGCAGCATTTTTTTTTATTCTAAAAATTTTATTTTACATTGCCGAAATTCTCATTATGTACAACTGGCTACAACATGTATATAACATTCCAATTAATGGACTTCATTACATTTTGTGCATACACGATATAAATATTGTTTTTCTTCTTTGATTAAATAAAACAACAATAAATATTATAAACAAAAAGTAAAATCGATGTTGTTCTCAGACCCTTACTGATCAAAGAGGAACAACTCTGAAAATGTAGGAGATGTTTATTTTCCTCCCTTTATTCACGGTTTTCCACAGAATCAGATACATTTACAGCAAGACGTGATAAATCCGAGAATTGAATACTATAGACCTCATATACACAATGTAAGTATAAAATTGAAAAGAATTGTTCACTTGTACTGAAATTATCTGCATTTATGAATATCCTATTGCAGCAAATCGTAACTTTGACTTTCTGTCCTCGAATCAAAACAAAACGTAGCCTGTCAGATTTTTAAAAGATATCAATGTGGGATTTGATATAAATTGAAATAGATGAAGAGTTTAATGTTTGATATTTTGAAGTTAATGTGGACGAATATACGGAATTTTCATTTTAACTTTAGAAGCGACGACATTGAAAGAAATGCGTACAATATTATCATGAGGGGTGTATGTACATCTAATGCAAATGTTGATGTATCCCCACAGCCACATACTGTCTCGTTTGAAATAATGACATGAAAGAAACTACAATTATTCCATTTATATCACAGGAGAGTTGAACATACACCATTTTTTTAATGAATAAAATTAAAGAAATAAAATTAAAAATCAACATATTCAAGTTCAACAAAACTTGAATTCGTATCCAGGTTTCATGTGATATGGAATGCATAACGCATACGTACAGTATATGGACTAAACTCTAAAATCTTTCAGTAATTTTTTCCTGATATATATAAAAAGAGTAGTCAATATTTATTCTGCATTCATGAATTTAAAAACTAATGCATACCTCCGGGATTCTTGACGAAATACCTGTATATTTGCACTGTAAACGACGTTTCGTCAAACGCTAATGGTCTGCGACGCAAAAAAGGAAGGGGTGGGGGTAATAGGGGTATTCAAAAATTGCCTAAAAATCTACATTTAAATACGCTTTACATATGAGAACTTTTAAATTTGTAAGTTAATATATTTTTGAAGCAAAAGCAATATTCCAATTTATTTTTTTTTTATGTGTATTTGTAGATTCATATAACAAAGTGATCGACCCCCGTCTGAAAGACGCGCGGGAACGTGATTTATTGAGAAAGGGGGAGGGGGTAATTTTCGCTATTAAATCAAAACTGGTCGTACAAAAATTATACAAAAAATTATGAAGATTATTTTTACTACCAGCTACCTAAAGAAAGTTTTTTACCAAAATTAAACGATAGGTTTTTTCACAAAAAAATTTTGAATTTGAAAAATACGCAATTTTCAAGGCTCAGAAAATTCATAGTTTTTCAGTTTAAGGTCTTTAAAAATTGTTTTGATGATATGTATATCAAAAAGATGATTATGTTTTTGTGTTAAATGGTTAAAAGAATAAGCCAATGAAATTTGACATTTATATATAACCTGGTTTTATTGAAAGTCAAGGTTTAAGTAGTTCATTGATTAAAAATTTTCTCTCCTTGTTAACAACTAAAGGGGGGTAACTTTCGGAAGTTCCTGTCCAAAAACCACTCGAACGATTTTGTCCAAAATATGCATACATGCAGTAGATATAGTCATGTACTAAATATACAAAAATAACGAAAATTAAACGACAGGAATTTTTTGGGGTAGGTGTGTTGTACATCCTTAAATGATGTGAAAGTTAGTCTTACGGCAAAATATATCAGATTTTCCCTTTTTTAAATAGGGAATCCCCATTGTTCTGAAAAAGTGCCTCCTTGAAACAAAATAATTTTGATATATACCCAAAGAGGCAGGAATTTTCTTCAAAACTGCCATTTCCGATTTTTGTTTCAAAGAGGCACATTTTTGAAAAACGCAAAAATTGAATAAAAATTATTTTCCAAACGAAATGCAAAATGTGTACTTTAAATAAGACTGCAAATCTATCGTGTCCGAAATGGTCTAGTGGATATGCTGGTGGGCTTCCAACTAGTACTTTTACCAGAAAATGGGTTCGAATCCTGATATTAGATCATTTTTGCATATTTTTTTCCCCATATGTTATGGTAGTGTAATGAAATTATATCTTTTGAAAGAGAGGAGGGGTGTCAAGAAGTTAATTAATAACTAATCTATATATTAGAAATGCAGGATTAAATTGGTTTCCTTAATATGCTGTGACTTATATTAAAAGTAATGATTATTTAGTTTTGTCTTGGAAAATAAAGTTACTGTATTGTTTAAATAATTTATCTTTTACATACTGTAGTTATTGCAATTTTGGTCTCTTAGTTAGTAGCCAACACTTGATTTGAAACAAAAAATAAAATGTCTAGGATAATCACACTGATTATGGGACACAGTTTTATTTCATGAAAAAATATTTTCGCACGATGTCTACAGTATATCTTTCAAGATGCTGCTTTAGCCATTGTGCTTTTTTGTTGTTTCAACGTACCTTTTTCGTGCAAAATGACGAGTGTTTTGCTGTATCAAGCAGGAAATACCCGCCGTAAACATAGTCCTCTACGTAGCTGTATCTATATTTAGACATAACGAGGGTATTTAAATGTCCTTCTCGATAGATAGGGAATAATCGCGAGTTTCTGCAATACCCTCTTTCCTTGCAAAAGTTCAAAGGGTTCTTGAAATATCGAGCTGAAACGTTAACGAAAGTGTTATAACAGACAGAATTAGCGAATTTATTACCTTTACCTTTGACCTTTTGATCTCAAAGTCAACAGGGTTATTTTTTAATCCATACGGAGTTGCTATGCAAAATTTCATTGCGAAAGCTCAAAGGGTTATCGAGATATCGTGTGGAAACGAAAGCGTTACAGACAGACAGAATGACGGACGGACGGACAGACCCACTTTTCAATCGGGTGACAAAAAAGAAAGTAAAAAAAACATGCATCGGCCGGGAATCGAACCCGGGCCGCCCGCGTGGCAGGCGAGCATTCTACCACTGAACCACCGATGCGTTGTTTAAGAAAGGGTCAACATTTGTAGTGTTTTGTGGTCCTCTGAAACGAATTGATAGTTACATCACTTACATGTATCAAATATATTTCATTTGGCAGACAAATATATTCTTTAACTAAAAAATATTCCCCCGCTTATTCTGTATTTTATTATAATTATCAATTTAGGATGGAACATGAGAAGGTTTTCTGTCTCTGCTCAAGGTAAATAACTCTTACTTGGCAAGTCCAGCGACAAAGAAAACAGCTGTCAAACTGAACATCATAAACCCAAGCATTGAGAAACGTTGGTGCGTATATTATCAAGTTCGTTTGTAGGAATAATCTAAAAACTAAATAACAATCTAATCTGCATTAATCAACAAGAATGTCACAACTGTTATTACAGTGAACATAAGTTTTTAACAATGTTTTTAAATAAGCAGAAAGGAAAACGAAAGAGAAAGTAGATTGAAAATGCAGATAATAACATAAGAGTTAGCAATGAAAATCAAATCACTCGAATGTCATGAGCTAACGCCTAGCTTTGATTACACTCTGAGAAGACAGGTGCGTGTTTTCAGGATTGTGTATTCTGTGTTTTTTCCAAGTATGACTGAGCATATTGTAGGCCTATTTGAGAAAAAAAAACTAGAAGTTCCCAAACACACCATTCTGATTGAAACAAAGCACCATTGGTTGAGATGGGTGGGTGAAATGTTTAATAAGTGTGCTAAGGAGTAGATTGCTAAACAAGTGGCCAATGGTACATAGCACTCACCTGAGTCAATTTGGTTTTACAGTTCATCATCAGCTTGCTAGGAGATGAACAAAAGGTTGTTTCAAAACCTGGCCATGACTGACCTAAGTCGATTAAAAGTAGCAACTGTAACAGTTCCTTCGCCAAGCTCTATGCACTTTAAAGTTAAAGTTGTAGATCAATGAGAGGTCTCTTAATTGTCATGGCAGGTGTGGCATGATAAAGATCCCTTACTGCTCAGTTGCCAAGAGTGCTGAGTAATTAAGGTGTAAATTTGAAGAAAGGTCTAAATTAAAAACCTTTCACCAAAATAAAGTATCTGATGTTTCTTTATGAGTGAAAAATTCTTGAATGGGATTATAAACAACATACAGTCAATCTTCAACAGCATATATTTTTTCCCAATATATTCCAATGTAAACTTTGATTTCCAATTGTAGTCCTTACAAATACACAGGGGCCATGGTTTAAACAAATTTGTATATGCACTGCTAGATGATGCTTGCATATTATTATGACTAAATCTTGCATAAAGCTTTGCTGGTCTTTCAAAGAAGACTTCAACAAGATATTGTGGCTTAAGTGTCTGCTAAAAATGGTCCATTTCCTACAAAATTTGTTGATTTCTTGAACTGTTTCAGATAAGTGATTGCTACTACTCACATGTCAAGCGTATCCTATTTATACAGAAGAGAAGAGAATAATTTCGACATGCCACCAGGGGGAGCAGATGATGTAAATCTATTAGACATACCGCGCCAAAACAGAGAAATGGAGGGTGAAAGCGAGGATGAAAAAGAGAGACAAAGTCAAGTGAGGGCTTTTCAGGAGAGGGTTGGCAGAGGGGGTAAGCCCCTAAATATCGCCTTCATTGGACCAGCAGGCAGCGGAAAGTCATCGCTGTGTAACTCAATCATGGCGGCTTTTAGTGTGGGTGGATGGAGAGAACGGGCTGCTGTTGGACACTTTGGTGGTCACGCCGAGCAAGTCACTCATCATTTACTGAGGTAAGGGGGAACAGGTCACGCATCATTTACTGAGGTAAGGGGGAACAAGTCACGCATCATTTACTGAGGTAAGGGGGAACAAGTCACGCATCATTTACTGAGGTAAGGGGGAACAAGTCACTCATCATTTACTGAGGTAAGGGGGAACAAGTCACTCATCATTTACTGAGGTAAGGGGGAACAAGTCACGCATCATTTACTGAGGTAAGGGGGATAGGTCACTCATCATTTACTGAGGTAAGGAGGGCAGGTCACTCATCATTTACTGAGGTAAGGGGGGAACAGGTCACACATCATTTACTGAGGTAAGGAGGGCAGGTCACTCATCATTTACTGAGGTAAGGAGGGCAGGTCACTCATCATTTACTGAGGTAAGGGGGACAGGTCACTCATCATTTACTGAGGTAAGGGGGGAACAGGTCACACATCATTTACTGAGGTAAGGAGGGCAGGTCACTCATCATTTACTGAGGTAAGGAGGGCAGGTCACTCATCATTTACTGAGGTAAGGAGGACAGGTCACTCATCATTTACTGAGGTAAGGGGGGAACAGGTCACACATCATTTACTGAGGTAAGGAGGGCAGGTCACTCATCATTTACTGAGGTAAGGAGGGCAGGTCACTCATCATTTACTGAGGTAAGAGTAACAGGTCACTCATCATTTACTGAGGTAAGGGGGACAGGTCACTCATCATTTACTGAGGTAAGGAGGGCAGGTCACTCATCATTTACTGAGGTAAGGGGGGAACAGGTCACACATCATTTACTGAGGTAAGGAGGGCAGGTCACTCATCATTTACTGAGGTAAGGAGGGCAGGTCACTCATCATTTACTGAGGTAAGGGGGACAGGTCACTCATCATTTACTGAGGTAAGGAGGGCAGGTCACTCATCATTTACTGAGGTAAGGAGGGCAGGTCACTCATCATTTACTGAGGTAAGGGGGAACAGGTCACTCATCATTTACTGAGGTAAGGAGGGCAGGTCACTCATCATTTACTGAGGTAAGGAGGGCAGGTCACTCATCATTTACTGAGGTAAGGGGGAACAGGTCACTCATCATTTACTGAGGTAAGAGGGACAGGTCACTCATCATTTACTGAGGTAAGGGGGAACAGGTCATGCATCATTTACTGAGGTAAGAGGGACAGGTCACTCATCATTTACTGAGGTAAGGGGGAACAGGTCATGCATCATTTACTGAGGTAAGAGGGACAGGTCACTCATCATTTACTGAGGTAAGGTGGGCAGGTCAGGCATCATTTACTGAGGTAAGGAGGGCAGGTCACTCATCATTTACTGAGGTAAGGGGAACAGATCACGCATCATTTACTGAGGTAAGGGGAACAGGTCACTCATCATTTACTGAGGTAAGGGGGGAACAGGTCACACATCATTTACTGAGGTAAGGAGGGCAGGTCACTCATCATTTACTGAGGTAAGGGGGGAACAGGTCACACATCATTTACTGAGGTAAGGAGGGCAGGTCACTCATCATTTACTGAGGTAAGAGTAACAGGTCACTCATCATTTACTGAGGTAAGGGGGACAGGTCACTCATCATTTACTGAGGTAAGGAGGGCAGGTCACTCATCATTTACTGAGGTAAGGGGGGAACAGGTCACACATCATTTACTGAGGTAAGGAGGGCAGGTCACTCATCATTTACTGAGGTAAGGAGGGCAGGTCACTCATCATTTACTGAGGTAAGGGGGACAGGTCACTCATCATTTACTGAGGTAAGGAGGGCAGGTCACTCATCATTTACTGAGGTAAGGAGGGCAGGTCACTCATCATTTACTGAGGTAAGGGGGAACAGGTCACTCATCATTTACTGAGGTAAGGAGGGCAGGTCACTCATCATTTACTGAGGTAAGGAGGGCAGGTCACTCATCATTTACTGAGGTAAGGGGGAACAGGTCACTCATCATTTACTGAGGTAAGAGGGACAGGTCACTCATCATTTACTGAGGTAAGGGGGACAGGTCACTCATCATTTACTGAGGTAAGGGGGACAGGTCACTCATCATTTACTGAGGTAAGGAGGGCAGGTCACTCATCATTTACTGAGGTAAGGGGGAACAGGTCACACATCATTTACTGAGGTAAGGGGGATAGGTCACTCATCATTTACTGAGGTAAGGAGGGCAGGTCACTCATCATTTACTGAGGTAAGGGGGGAACAGGTCACACATCATTTACTGAGGTAAGGAGGGCAGGTCACTCATCATTTACTGAGGTAAGGGGGAACAGGTCATGCATCATTTACTGAGGTAAGGGGAACAGGTCACTCATCATTTACTGAGGTAAGGGGGACAGGTCACTCATCATTTACTGAGGTAAGGGGGACAGGTCATGCATCATTTACTGAGGTAAGAGGGACAGGTCACTCATCATTTACTGAGGTAAGGGGGACAGGTCACTCATCATTTACTGAGGTAAGGGGGACAGGTCACTCATCATTTACTGAGGTAAGGGGGACAGGTCACTCATCATTTACTGAGGTAAGGAGGGCAGGTCACTCATCATTTACTGAGGTAAGGGGGAACAGGTCACTCATCATTTACTGAGGTAAGGGGGACAGGTCACTCATCATTTACTGAGGTAAGGGGGACAGGTCATGCATCATTTACTGAGGTAAGAGGGACAGGTCACTCATCATTTACTGAGGTAAGGGGGACAGGTCACTCATCATTTACTGAGGTAAGGGGGAACAGGTCACTCATCATTTACTGAGGTAAGGAGGGCAGGTCACTCATCATTTACTGAGGTAAGGGGGACAGGTCACTCATCATTTACTGAGGTAAGAGGGACAGGTCACTCATCATTTACTGAGGTAAGGGGGGAACAGGTCACACATCATTTACTGAGGTAAGGAGGGCAGGTCACTCATCATTTACTGAGGTAAGGGGGACAGGTCACTCATCATTTACTGAGGTGACAGCTCACTCAATCAATTTACTGATGTAAGGGGGACAGGTCACTCATCATATACTGAGGTAAGGGGGACAGGTCATGCATCATTTACTGAGGTAAGGGGTACAGGTCACTCATCATTTACTGAGGTAAGGGGGACAGGTCACTCATCATTTACTGAGGTAAGGGGGACAGGTCACTCATCATTTACTGAGGTAAGGGGGACAGGTCACTCATCATTTACTGAGGTAAGGAGGGCAGGTCACTCATCATTTACTGAGGTAAGGGGGAACAGGTCACTCATCATTTACTGAGGTAAGGGGGACAGGTCACTCATCATTTACTGAGGTAAGGGGGACAGGTCATGCATCATTTACTGAGGTAAGAGGGACAGGTCACTCATCATTTACTGAGGTAAGGGGGACAGGTCACTCATCATTTACTGAGGTAAGGGGGACAGGTCACTCATCATTTACTGAGGTAAGGAGGGCAGGTCACTCATCATTTACTGAGGTAAGGGGAACAGGTCACTCATCATTTACTGAGGTAAGGGGGACAGGTCACTCATCATTTACTGAGGTAAGGGGGACAGGTCACTCATCATTTACTGAGGTAAGGAGGGCAGGTCACTCATCATTTACTGAGGTAAGGGGGACAGGTCACTCATCATTTACTGAGGTAAGGAGGGCAGGTCACTCATCATTTACTGAGGTAAGGGGGACAGGTCACTCATCATTTACTGAGGTAAGGGGAACTTTGGTGTTCATGGTGAACAGCTAGGTCACTCATCATTAACTGACAGCTAGGTCACTCATCATTAACTGAGGCAAGGAACTGTGGTGGTCATGGTGAACAGGACATGCATTATTACTGAGGTGAGGGGAACCTTGGTGGTCACCGTGACCAGGTCACGCATCATTTACTGAGGTGGGGGGAAAGAATGTGATACAAGTCTTAGATCATTTTAGCTTTTAATAGAGAGAAACCAAAACTCTTCATTTGATGTAAATTTATGAGAACTGTTATTTTTAAGTTAATAAGAAAAACTTTGTTTCATTTTCAATTCATATGAGATATTTTATTTTCTTATATACCCTTGTGTGTTCTTTTTTTTTTAATTTTGAATGGGATATTGTTACATTATTGCCATTATATTATCAGAATATTGATACTTAAGATTACCTTTAACAGCTTCCCCAAAGTGGAGTACCTGGACTTTGATGCCCTATATGACTACAATTATCCTACACTGGTGGACATGAACGGTTTCGAGAACAACTGTGATGATCTGATAGAGGAACTCCTGCGGATTGTGTTCTATGGAAGGCTGCCCAACGAAGAAAAACTCATGGATGCCGTCACAATTTCAAGGTACAGTATTTAAAAGCTCTCTATACACTAGAGGAAAAGAGTTTTTGGACATTGAAAAAATGGACATTCAAAAAATTATAGAATGAAAAGGCATAAATATTGAGCTTAACTATCACATTTTCAACACAGGATACCTTGCATTTACCCCCAAGAAAAAATACCTGCAAATGACATTTTCAATCTATTCATCTTGACCTTTAAAATAATATGATTGCCTGGTTTGAAATTGATTAAAATTTATGTAATAAACTGTACATCTCAATTTTATTTTATTCTTAATAAAAGGGCAGATTACTCTATTTGCATAAAAATACCACAAAATCATAACTCTTTAGTGTGCAGTATATAGATTGCTTTCATTTTTTTGTTCTATATGCTTTTTCCATCTTTTACAGGCAGAGGGGAATTGAGGGATTGAGAGATCATTACTCCCAAAATAATGAGGATATAAAAATAGACAGAATAATATTTGTGGCATCCGCAACAAATGAACTCCCTACACAGCTAATGGAGGCTGTTAGACGAACAGCCCGTAAGGAGGGAAGAGGTACATGTAGTGATACAAGCTACTAAGAAACAAGGCAACTTAAAAAGAACTCTGTTACATTGTACCTTCAACAATCTTTTGAATATTGTTTAGTATTCTTTTCAACTTCAGCATTTAATTTTAAATTAGCATATTTAAAAAGTCAAATCAACTTAGCTTATCTTATCAATACTAGTATGTTTCTATCAATATCATATCAATATATCTTAATTTCCATAGACAACAGTGAAGATTTGACATAATGAAAGCCTTGTATTAATTTCAGTAATTCCAATCTTTGGGGTTCTGACACATCGAGATGAGATAGACAGGGGGGACGCCGACTATATCAAACAGGAGAAGGAATTCAGAGAAGGCCTAGGACTGCCAGAGAACCGCTTCCTTCTTTGTACAACCTACTGTGATACTTACGATAAATATGTCGGGAAAAGCCGTCTGGATCATCGCCATCCAGAGCTGGACATACCCATCCTCAAGTTCATGAGACAGGTTAGTATGTACTGTAAACCAACTATTATTCGTGTCATCTTTTATTCTCGATTCGTCGGTTTGTAATCAATCCGTAACAATTAATTTTCACAAAAAAGGAAACATTTTCTACAAAAACAAAGCAAAATGAATGGTTCACAGCGATTAATATTTGCAACTTAAAGTAGGTTGCAAAACTTGCGAATATTTCTCACACACGAATAAAAACTGGTTTACAGTAATTCAGTGTATACAGCCAGATCCATTTCATACCCATCCTAAAGGTCACAAGACAAAACTGCAGAAAACTGTGCACCTGAAATGAGTTTTACATTTCTGAAGATGGGCATCCTTAATAAAGTATGGGGAAATATTCATACAGACATATTGAATGACTGGATTGCTTAGCCAAATTAGAATATAAATATCTCAACAATTTTATTTATGGTACAAAATTTAGCTCTCTTATTGTTAGTATTTTCATTACTAATATATATTACATGGGAAGCTTTTAAACGCAGGCACCCAGTTAATTTGGTGCAAATCCTTGACCTTGACTTTCCTCATGATGCTCAGTAACATGGGTAGATGTGAAAATTAATAAAGAAAACTACTTTGAAATGCATATGTAACATTGAATTGAATTAAATTGTAGGTCTGTGATTCAGCTTCTAAAGTAATCAAAGATAAAACTAGCTACAACCAGAAGGAACCACAGGGCTCTCCAACACCCAGAACTGAGAGACAGCCATCATTGGTCCAGGCCAGGCAGAGGGAAGACCAGAAACTGATGAAGATGGCCATTAAAGGAGCAGCCATAGCAGTTTTTGTCTGGATTCTACTGCCCTTTATAAACAGCAGTAGAGATATTGCTAACATATGTGCCCAACAGAAATATGGCCACTGTAATATTCGAGACTTGACAACTTTCTGTGATGAAAGATCCTCCATGCAAATATGGAGAATTATATTTTCCCTTCTGTTTGCTGCATTCACCATGTTTCTGGATTTTCTTTGTGAGAAATTTGATTTGCCTTTACAAATATAAACTATCGTTGACTTGTATAAAAATCTGGGGAAAGGTTTAAAAAAGGAATTTAGGTAATGGTAAAAAATTAAGATTACAATATGTGGCACTTAATAATCTATCTGCAGTAAACAGTATTTGTTTGTGCATGGGAACTATAGTCATTAGCTTTACATGTAATTGAAAACTGTGTTATACAAAACTGTTTAAATCGAATGCTTTGAGCAAAAGTTGGTCAAAGAATTAAGATATTTCTCTATCGAACATGTGATTGGTTGTGAGCTTCACATGTAATTGAAAACTGTATTATACAAAATTGTTTAAATCGAATGCTTTGAGCAAAAGATGGTCAAAGAATTAAGATATTTCTCATTCAAACATGTGATTTGTTTTGAGCTTTACATGTATTGAAAACTGTATTATACAAAATTGTATAAATCGAATGCTTTGAGCAAAAGATGGTCAAAGAATTAAGATATTCCTCTATCAAACATGTGATTTGTTGTGAGCTTTACATGTATTGAAAACTGTATTATACAAAATTGTTTAGATCGAATACTTTGAGCAAAAGATGGTCAAAGAATTAAGATATTCCTCTATCGAACACGTGATTGGTTGTGTATATAATTATTTGCTTTATCTCGATCCTTTGAAACCTTTTCATTTATACTGGTACAAAGGTACAACTGTCAATGCAAGGCTGCAAATTAAGACCTGTGCTCTGCACTAAAAAGTATTCATTGAGGGATCTTTTTAATGCTATAGCACCAGTTGCAACATTGAAATCTGCATGATTGGTACTGAACTTAAGTGATACACCTGCAGGCATGTAGGAAGCATTTTCAGATGGGCGAGTCACAACCTAAGAATTTCAATATGGAGAGGGGGCACTAGTACCAAGCTATACTTCTTGACTAAGAAAAGAAAAAAAGTCATTGGTTGTAATTACTGTAGGCCTAATGTACTTCATGGTTTGCAAAACCACTGGCTCCAAGATTCCTACAAGTCATATATATTTGTATGTAGCATATTCTACTTTTTTCTTTTGAAGTATTTAGCAAATTTAAATATTTTAAGAATTACTCTGAATCACAGGTTTAAAGAATTTTTTTTTAACAAATTCTTATAATTTTTAGGTCACCTGAGTAAACTCAGGTGACCTATTGCTATCCGTTTTCGTCCGTCGTCGTCCGTCGTCCGTCGTCCGTCGTGTGTCGTGTGTCGTGTGTTAACATTTGAACATTTTCAGCTTCTTCTCTGCAACCACTGAACCAATTTCAACCAAATTTGGCACAAAGCATCTATGGGTGAAGGGGAACAAAAATTGTGAATTTCATGATCCCTGCCCCCCTGGGGCCAGAGGGGTGGGGCCAAAACCACTAAAATTAATGCAATCTTTAAAAATCTTCTTCTTTACTCCTGGACATCAAGCAGTCAAACTATTTGTATGATTGTAATCAGCATTGAGTCCTCTACCAAAATTGTGAAATTCATGGCCCTGGGGTCAGGGGTTCTAGTGCTAGGGCGGGGCTAAATAAGTATATAGTGAAAATGCATTATTTCTTTGAAAATCTTCTTCTCTGCTCCTGGGTATTAAATAAACCAACTAAGTACATAGTTATGATGAGCAAGAGTGCCTCTACCAAAATTGTGAATTTTATGGCCCCAGGGTCAGGGGTTCTTGTGTTAGGGAGGGGCTCTATTGATTATATATAGTGTAAAAACATGATTTCTTTGAAAATCTTCTTCTCTGCCCCTGGGTATTGAATAAACCAAGTAAGTAAATAGTTATGATGAGCAAGAGTGCCTCTACCAAAATTGTGAATTTTATGGCCCTATCATCAAGGGTTCTGGTGTTGGGGGAGGGGGGGGGGGGCTCTATTGATTATATAGTGAAATTACATGAATTCTTTGAAAATCTTCTTCTCTGCTCCTAGGTATTAAATAATCCAACTAAGTGCATAGTTATGATGAGCAAGAGTGCCTCTACAAAAATTGTGAATTTTATGGCCCCAGGGTCAAGGATTCTGGTGTTGGGGGGGGGGGCTCTATTGATTATATAGTGAAATTACATGAATTCTTTGAAAATCTTCTTCTCTGCTCCTAGGTATTATATAAACTAACTAAGTGCATAGTTATGATGAGCAAGTGTGCCTCAACCAAAATTGTGAATTTAATGGCCCTATCATCAAGGGTTCTGGTGTTGGGAGGGGGGCTCTATTGATTATATAGTGAAATTACATGAATTCTTTGAAAATCTTCTTCTCTGCTCCTAGGTATTAAATAAACCAACTAAGTGCATAGTTATGATGAGCAAGAGTGCCTCTACAAAAATTGTGAATTTTATGGCCCCAGGGTCAGGGGTTCTGGTGTTAGGGTGGGGCTCTATTGATTATATAGTTAAAATACACTAAATCTTTGAAAACTTTCTTCTCTGTCTCTGGGTATGAAGCAGATGAACTACCTATATAGTTATGATGAGCAAGGGCCCTAATCTTGCAGAATTGTGAATTTCAAGGCCCCAGGGTCAGGTGGGGGGGGGCTCTACTTATATACTGGAAATGAATTAATTGTTTGAAATCTGGTCCTTTGTATTTATAAAACATTTATTTACTTTTTGATAGGCAATTTTAAGGGTGCCTTTTAAAAATTTGTGCAACCTAGGGTCAGGGGTTTATGTCAGAGTGTTAGGGGCACTACTGATTATTGATGAATATTACTGATTAGTTGGAGTGCATTTTTGTTCCCCTACCCTGCATATGGGTATTCAGTAACCAAGCTAAGCGACTGCTAAGTTTATTGTTATGATGATCAATGGTGCTCTTTCAAAATTGTGAATGCCATATAGCATCTGGCTTAAAACATGTTATTGAATCAAATTCAATACACTGTAACTGGAAAGTTGTTGCATAATGCTCAGGTGACCTATAAGGCCCGTGGGCCTCTTGTTACAATAATAATATGTCAAAAGGGGAATAATTCAATTTTCGCTTTTGTAATTATTTTAGAAGAAAGTTAAGTTATTTCCCATTACATTGCTAGCAGTGTTACCTTCTATGGCGGAATCTGAGAAACTAAAGAATATTATTTTTCGTTGTTTTGTGTGCATTACATACTTTCATGATATTGAGTTTTTGGATAGACTGCTTAAATATCTAATGAAAAAAGTACCTAAAAAAAGTTAAGCATTGTGTTAGTTATATGTAGGCTTCAGTTGTGTTACAGTTAGTTAAATGTACACTGTATATTGGCCTCAAAGGTTGTGTATGTTTATTGACATGTAAATTTGAAATAAATGTTCATGTTTTTTGCATTATGTGTATTTATATTAATCTTAGACTAAAAAATACATTTATTTCATAATTGTTAGTCCATTATTTATACACTGAATTGATGACAGATTTTTTCGTTATTTGTCGATCATTAGAAGGGGCACACAGCTGGAATGACCGGTCGGCAGGGGATGCTCACTCCTCCATAGCACCTGATCCAACCTCTGATGTTTCAGAGATCTGTGTTTGCTCTGCTCCTATTTCGTATTCTTTATTGGCCTTTTGAGCTTGAAAACGGTTCGTTATCTCCATATATTTCATGTCCTTGACCACAAATTGCAAATTTTATATGTATACTAGTTTTTAGCATGTTAATTTCTTTTTATTTCGAAAGTTTAATTTAGAACCTATTCCAGCTATGATAAAAGTTGGTTTATAGGATTTATTTGAACTCACTAATTAAAAAATGTATTTAAAAAGGAAGTTCCTTTCATTTTTTTTTACTATTGTTCACCTTATGGAGTCATGCTATCATGATGAATCTACTATTGATTTCTCAGTTTAATTTTTTCCTTCACATGCTCAGAAAATAAAGCAGCTTGTCCAATTGCAAGTCAATGAAAAATGACGACGTATAAATATTATAAAACAATATTAGTATATAAATTAATATAAAAATTAATTTCATGTCTGCAAGTTTCTGACATCTTATTACGAAAAATTCCTCATTAACTTTTACAGACACAGTAGGTATGATTTAAAGAATACACAATCATGTATACTCCAGTGCTAGTATTTCAACACTAAAATCTAAACGTCTTCGAGGTATTTGGATCCACTCTTTGGCACCTCTAATTAAACTTTGCAATTTTTTTAAAATAAAATATTTCGGATTTCCAACGTTTCGACTTGAGCATCTCTGAAGAGACGTGATTTGTCGAAATGCACATTTGGTACCGTGTATGTGATTTGCATTCTATAAAAACTGTAAAATAACGAACTTTTTGTAACCTATATTTATCCGATAATTATGAGATTTCTACAATAGTTCACAAGCATCTTATAGATGCATGATCGAATATTAATCTATTTCATGAGAACTATTGCTATCAGATAAATTGACGGAAAATCAATGTATATATAATTTCAACTCATTATTACATTATGTGCACTCTCTACTATATGGTCTAAGTAGTTCATTACATGATGTGAATTTATCTTTAATTCAATATCAAGTCGCTATAACACGATGCAGAATTTCATTACATGATGTGAAAAAATTGTCACATGTGGCCAATTCTTTACTATATTATGTCATCAATATGCTACATGACAACGGGAATCTATTACATGATGTCAATTTTCCCTTACTTTTTGACAAATCATTATTATGTTATGCCATTGTATCTTTACATTGTGTCTAAAATGCTTAGCCTATTGTCAGTATATCTTAGAATATTTTAACTCTTTATTGTGTGACGTAAGGTCTAGGTTATAATTTAATTTAAACATATCAAATATTAAATTATACACAAGACTTAATTAATCCTTAACTAAATATCAGGTTAAATTTATAAATAGGATCATGTTCCCATGGAATCTTTATTGACGATTGTTTTTTTTAACGTCGAAATTCAATGGTCGTTTAATCTCATAATTATCGCAAATCAAACAGTATGTGTCATGCAGCAATATTTTTCTTTTTATTTTGAATTATTTTGAAAAGTCCGTAACTTCTGATCTAACTACAAAATACTGTCCTAAGCTTTTTATCAGTCTTTAACCCCCCCCTTTTTTTTTTTTTTTTTTTTTTTTTTTTTTTTTAAAAGTGTAAACACATCGTATTTCATACGTGCACTGGTGGGTCGGTGGGGAGAGGGGGGATCCCGCCGTCCCATCTGTAGTGACTAAAATATACGTGAAATTAATCAATTGGTTTTACTTTGTAGGACATTGCATTAGTTTTACATAAAGTATAACTGAAATAAGTTGAGACGTCTTATAAAAAATCTAAAGCCTGAGAGCTTCCGGGCTTTCACCCCCTGGTCCCCAACTTAGACACCGTATCGTTCCCCTATAGCTACTCTTTCAAGAACCCAAGATCGCCACTGATATGAGCCCATGTTTTCTAAGGCATGGTCAATTAATTTAAGTGAGGGACTGATAGATTTTTGTAACAGAATTCTGGTCCTGGAATGGTTGAAAAATAACTAATTCCAGTGACGTTGGATCGTTTTTGAAAGTTGGGGGAGGTTTGTCAGCCAGAAAAAAATAACGTACAAGAAAAAGCTAAAAAAAAAAAAAAAAAAAAAAAAAAAATCCAAAACCAAACTCGAAAATCCTATTTCGGGTGAAAGGGTGAAAGGGGGGGGGGTCCAATTTCGATCAGTCCTAAAAAAAAAATTCCAAATATACTACATTACCCTTATACTTAAGCAAAAAGTGGGGCTGAATTTCAATGAACATTTTCTATGATAAAGTTATGTCGGAAAAAAGAGGAAGTCAGACCCCCCCCCCCATATAATGTGTCTGTAATTCGTCCTAATTAATCGGGACCCCCCCCCTTCCCAGTCGTGAAAACAAGGTTATCAATTTTGACATAATGTAAATGTATTTTACAGCACGTAATGAACATTTTTAATCAACATGATAAAGAATTAACGCAATGTAAAGATAGTTTTAAGTCACATAAGAAAGAGTTAACATATTCTTATTAAATATCCACATAAAGGAATGGAGTTTTGACATAATGTAATAAAGTGTTGATATAATATGGAACGCCGGGACTGTCTCAATAATATATATTCACATTATGTTATAATTTTTTTTACATCACGTAATAAAGCACTGACATAAAGGTAAGATGTATTCACCTCACATTGTGATGACCTCGGCGTAAAATAAAGATACATTAACATCACGTAATAATGCTTTGCTATAATAGAAATATACACTCACAAAAGGGAATGGACTTTGACTTAATGTAATGATAAATTTAATCAAAGAACACATGTAAAACGAAATTAACTTGACGTAATGCAATTTTGACCTCACATATTAAAGAAATGAAATAATATAAAGAAACATTCATTTCACGTAATAAAGTTTTAACACAATGTAAACATATTTTCACGTCACATAATGAACTTTGGTCTTCAAGTTATAAAGTGCCGACATAATGGAAGAATGTGTTTACTTCATGTAATGCAGCATTGACATGATGTAAAGATATTTTTACATCACCTCATAAAAAATTGACATAACGTAAAGATATGTTCACATCACGTAATGATAGATTGACATAATGAATGCATAGTTTTATGCTATAAGGCAGTGATGGCGTTCCATATATATACGTTACATTTATTTGCATCATTGTAATCGATAACTTCAAATGATGCGTCTTGATAGTAATATCGCCCATGTCTGAATTAGCTTATGATAAAATATTTTAATTTAACTCTTGACTATGTTGATACAAGGATGTTTCATCATCTGTGTTCTATGCTTCGGTAAGTATTAAAGATAGATATAACAGACAAATTTTCAAGTCTCTCAGAAAAAAGAGCTTTAATGGTTTTTTTTCTTTAGTGGAATTTTCAGCTGTGTAAAAAATTCCGGAAACCATACTCCTTACAGTAATAAAACTTCACATATCTCTAAAACTTTTCAAAAAATATTTCAAAAATAAATGCAATTTTTTTTTATCTTTTGATCAAATATGAAATATAAAGATATATCGCTTTATTACCAAGTACGTAGAATCGGGTGGGTGTTCTGTCTAGTAAACTATCTACTGTTACAGTCCAATCGTAAAATCTCCAATTTTCACTTTTTTGCCTTGACAATTTTTTTAAGTAAACGTAAAAAAATCATAAGGAATACTAGCAAAGAAAGATCTAAACAGTATGCTTTACTTATATTTGAGTTTTCGTGTTCGTTTAATTTTCACAGAAACTGGAGTGGGGGGGGGGGGGGGGGTTCCAAGAAAATCCGCTGCATTTTATTCCTGGCATTTTGCGTTATATTTTCAAAAAATTTTTATTTTCTCATCGACATTTTTTTTTTTTAATATTCTGTCTGAAAAATAAATATTAATACATTATTAAAGTCAAACTAAATTTTCCGAATAAAAATATTACAATTCACTTATTACATCAAATATATAACAATGTTCAAGGTATGTACATGTATTTTCAGAATGCATATACATGTTGATATAGGTATTAGTCTTGTAATGAGAAGAAGGTTTCAATATTTTCACATATTTTTAAAAATAAACTTCAGTTTACAAATCCATGTCCAGAAATAGATATTTTGAGAAGAAAAAAAATAATCAGGATTGAAATACCATCTGCTTGGAACTTTAATGTACATGCTATTTAACACGTTGAACTTTTTATGCCCACGTAATCGAAGATTCGGGAGTGTACAGTTTTTGACCTGACCGTCCGTCTATCTATAACTCTTTGTCCGCAAAAACTTGAACCTTGCCCATAACTTTTGATCAGTAAAAGCTATATGGCGATAATATTTCACAGTTGCATTTCTTATTGTAGGAACTTTCTTTTGGCACCAACAACTTTGACCTTTACCCATTTTTGAAAAATAGAAGGAAAAAAAAACAGAGAGAAAAATAATGACAATCCCATATGGCAGCTTATTGCGAGGATTGAAGTTTCTCAAATGCACGTCCAACTCCAAGGTCAAGGTAAAAATTATTGGTATCCAAAAGAAGGACTGTCACAAGGAATATTCCTGCTACATGTACATGTGAAATATGAAAGCCTTAGTACTAACTCAGGCGCGTAGCATCGTTTTTGGAAGTGGGGGGGCCAACCTGAGAAAATTTTTTTTTACCTACCTGAAAAAGTTGACAAGCAAAAAAAAAAAAAAAAAAAAAAAAAAAAAAAAAAAAGGAAAAATTAAAAGTTGCCCAAAGTCGAAAATCCTATTTCGTGGGGGGGGGAGGGGGGGGGGGGAGGGTAGTGGCCAACTTTTTTCAAGACCGACTATCTTTCAATTCAAACTTTTTGGGGTA